CGATAAAAGCTATTTCCATAATCTGGTAAATTATACAGATTCGGAAGATTCTGGTAATATATTTTTATTTAATTAAAATATAATATTTTGTAGATGAATTTGATAACAATAGCAATTCTATCCAAGAAGATTGTATATCACCGGATCCTGGTATATATTTTTAAGATGCATTAGTTAACATATAATATTTTGTAGTTGATTTTGAAAACAATAGCAATTCTATCCGAGAAGATTGTATAACACCGGATTCTGGTATATATTTGCATTAGTTAACATATAATATTTTGTAGTTGATTTTGAAAACTGTAACACATCTATCCAAGAAGATTGTATATCACCGGATCCTGGTATATATTTTTAAGTTGCATTAGTTAACATATAATATTTTGTAGTTGATTTTGAAAACAATAGCAATTCTATCCGTGAAGATTGTATATCACCGGATCCTGGTATATATTTTTAAGATGCATTAGTTAACATATAATATTTTGTAGTTGATTTTGAAAACAATAGCACTTCTATCCGAGAAGATTGTATATCACCGGATCCTGGTATATATTTTTAAGATGCATTAGTTAACATATAATATTTTGTAGTGGATTTTGAAAACTGTAACACATCTATCTGAGAATATTGTATATCACCGGATCCTGGTATATAAAACATATTTTTACCTATTTACTTTAAAAAAAATCAAAAAAGTTCAAAAATAACGATTATGACAATTGTCACTTTTCCATAGTACATCTTCACTGAAATATTAATTTAACATTTTTACAAAACATATTTTACCAATTTACTTTAAAAAAACTAAAAAATGTTCAAAAATAACGATTATGACAATTGTCACTTTTCCATAGTACATCTTCACTGAAATATTAATTTAACATTTTTACAAAACATAATTTTAACTATTTACATTAAAAAACTAAAAAATGTTCAAAAATACGATTATGACAATTGTCACTTTTCCATAGTACATCTACACTAAAATATTAATTTAACACGTTTGCTAAACATATTTTTACCTATTTACTTTAAAAAAATTAAAAAAATGTTCAAAAATAACGATTATGACAATTGTCACTTTTCCATAGTACATCTTCACTGAAATATTAATTTAACATTTTTACAAAACATAATTTTAACTATTTACTTTAAAAAAAATCAAAAAAGTTCAAAAATAACGATTATGACAATTGTCACTTTTCCATAGTACATCTTCACTGAAATATTAATTTAACATTTTTACAAAACATAATTTTAACTATTTACTATAAAAAAATCAAAAAAGTTCAAAAATAACGATTATGACAATTGTCACTTTTCCATAGTACATCTTCACTGAAAATTGCTTTTAAAAACTTAAAAAAGTTCAAAAATTACGATTATACCTTTTGTCACTTTTACCTATAAAATTAGGAATCAAAAGATATAAAATAGAAAAAATTACGTTAAAAATAAATTATATATAAATCATTTAAAAAAAATATCAATCTAAAAATATATTTAAATAAATAATAATAACACAAATAAAAAAAAATTTTAGCTATCAAAAAATATATCAAGAAAAAATTTACGTGAAAAATAAATACATAAAAAACCATTATATTAATAAATATCAATCAAAAAATATATAAAAAAATAGTATAACAAATTAAAATATATTTAAAAAAATAATATAACACAAAAAATAAAAAAAATTTTAGATATCAAAAAATATATCAAGAAAAAATTTACGTGAAAAATAAATACATAAAAAACCATTATATTAAAAAATATCAATCAAAAAATATATAAAAAATTAATATAACAAATTTAAATATATTATCTAAAATTATTTTAAAAAAAATATCAATCATAAAAAAAAATTTAGCTATCAAAAATATATCAAGAAAAAATTTACGTGAAAAATAAATACATAAAAAAGAAAAACCATTATAATAAAAAATATTAATCAAAAAATATATAAAAAAATAATATAACAAATTAAAATATATTATCTAAAAATTATTTTAAAAAAAATATCAATCAAAAAATATATTTAAAAAAATAATATAACACAAAAATAAAAAAAAATTTAGATATCAAAAAATATATCAAGAAAAAATTTACGTGAAAAATAAATATATAAAAAACCAATATTTTAAAAAATATCAATCAAAAAATATATAAAAAAATAATATAACAAATTAAAATATATTATAAAATTGTTTTAAAAAAAATATCAATCATAAAAAAAAATTTAGCTATCAAAAAATATATCAAGAAAAAATTTACGTGAAAAATAAATACATAAAAAACCATTTTAATAAAAAATATCAATCAAAAAATATATAAAAAAATAATATAACAAATTAAAAAATATTATCTAAAAATTATTTTAAAAAAAATATCAATCAAAAAATATATTTAAAAAAATAATATAACACAAAAAATAAAAAAAAATTTAAATATCAAAAAATATATCAAGAAAAAATTTACGTGAAAAATAAATACATAAAAAACCATTATATTAAAAAATATCAAATCAAAAAATATATAAAAAAATAATATAACAAATTAAAATATATTATCTAAAATTATTTTTAAAAAAATATCAATCATAAAAAAAAATTTAGCTATCAAAAAATATATCAAGAAAAAATTTACGTGAAAAATAAATATATAAAAAACCATTATAATAAAAAATATCAATCAAAAAATATATAAAAAAATAATATAACAAATTAAAATATATTATCTAAAAATTATTTAAAAAAAAATATCAATCAAAAAATATATTTAAAAAAATAATATAACACAAAAAATAAAAAAAAATTTAAATATCAAAAAATATATCAAGAAAAAATTTACGTGAAAAATAAATACATAAAAAACCATTATATTAAAATATATTATCTAAAATTATTTTAAAAAAAATATCAATCAAAAAATATATTTAAAAAAATAATATAACACAAAAAATAAAAAAAAATTTAAATATCAAAAAATATATCAAGAAAAAATTTACGTGAAAAATAAATACATAAAAAACCATTATATTAAAAAATATCAAATCAAAAAATATATAAAAAAATAATATAACAAATTAAAATATATTATCTAAAATTATTTTTAAAAAAATATCAATCATAAAAAAAAATTTAGCTATCAAAAAATATATCAAGAAAAAATTTACGTGAAAAATAAATATATAAAAAACCATTATAATAAAAAATATCAATCAAAAAATATATAAAAAAATAATATAACAAATTAAAATATATTATCTAAAAATTATTTAAAAAAAAATATCAATCAAAAAATATATTTAAAAAAATAATATAACACAAAAAATAAAAAAAAATTTAAATATCAAAAAATATATCAAGAAAAAATTTACGTGAAAAATAAATACATAAAAAACCATTATATTAAAATATATTATCTAAAATTATTTTAAAAAAAATATCAATCAAAAAATATATTTAAAAAAATAATATAACACAAAAAATAAAAAAAAATTTAAATATCAAAAAATATATCAAGAAAAAATTTACGTGAAAAATAAATACATAAAAAACCATTATATTAAAAAATATCAAATCAAAAAATATATAAAAAAATAATATAACAAATTAAAATATATTATCTAAAATTATTTTTAAAAAAATATCAATCATAAAAAAAAATTTAGCTATCAAAAAATATATCAAGAAAAAATTTACGTGAAAAATAAATATATAAAAAACCATTATAATAAAAAATATCAATCAAAAAATATATAAAAAAATAATATAACAAATTAAAATATATTATCTAAAAATTATTTTAAAAAAAATATCAATCAAAAAATATATTTAAAAAAATAATACAACACAAAAAATAAAAAAAAATTTAGCTATCAAAAAATATATCAAGAAAAAATTTACCTGAAAATACATAAAAAACCATTATAATAAAAAACATTAAAAACCATTATAATAAAAAATATCAATCAAAAAATATATAAAAAATTTATATAACAAATTAAAATATATTATAATATATTTCAATATATTTAAAAAAAAATATCAATCAAATAATATATTTAAAAAACATATTACATCTAAAAAAATAATATAAATTATCAAATAAAATTTTAATCTTAAAAAAATTATTAATAATATGATATTACAATAAAAAACCATTATAATAAAAAACATAAAAAACCATTATAATAAAAAACATAAAAAACCATTATAATAAAAAATATCAATCAAAAAATATATAAAAAATTAATATAACAAATTAAAATATATTATAATATATTTCAATATATTTTAAAAAAAATATCAATCAAATAATATATTTAAAAAACATATTACATCTAAAAAAATAATATAAATTATCAAATAAAATTTTAATCTTAAAAAAATTATTAATAATAAAAAACAAAATTATTAATAATATAATATTACAAAAATAACACATTGCCTACCACTACATCACATTGCCGAAAATTCACATTGACGCTAACATATATATATATAGAGAGAGAAACACAGTGAAAGCTTATATCTATTAAAGTGCAGTAGCGTGCAGGAGTTCAAGCCCCTTGAAAAATTTGAAGGGCTGAAAATTTTGTTTTTTTTTATATTGAAAATGTAAATATTTAAAATAAAGGTCATTTATAAAAAATCTAAAAAACATTTTTTTTGGAGCCCTCTGATTGCAATGGTTACTGACGGTTATAGTGTAGAAAAGATTCTGTAAGTTATAGTCATAGAAAAACTATGAAGATTGTTAGGCACGCATAATTATCCTTCACGAGACATGTTTTAAATTATATCGTATTCAAATTATTCTAACTAATCAATATTCTCTGAATATGAGAAATAGTATCCTAATTAAAAATATTTTTAAATTGAGTTATTTATTCACGTTCCTAAGGTTCATTCACCTTTTTTTTTTAAAGATTACCTTAGAAAATTAGGAAAAAGCATATTGTATTGAATTTAAACTAATGTTTAATATAGAATGTATTGCCTGATCCAAAGAAAAATTGTGGTCCCTATCACCAAAATGTTTATCAAAACATAGAACGATCGAAAGAAGATTTAGCTAGTGACACAGTCGGAGTCATAGCTCTCGATTTTAATCGAAAGATCGCAATTGGCATGTCAACTAACGGAGCTGATCACAAGATTCCTGGGTACATATTTTTTTTAGAGAAAATACGTTTATTATAAAAAAAGTTCTTAGTGTTTAATATTTCTCTAGAGAATATATGTGAATCATCTATCACGATTCGGGTGATCCCCTATTCGACAAAATTTAAGCAAACTAAGGTAACTAATTCTCTAAGCTCTTTACTTTTAAAGATATCTGGTCAAAATCGAGTGTCAGACTGGGTTGACAGAACTTTCGATTTTGGCGGAAACTCCAATATATTTTATGCTTATTTACTCCTCTTTCTCACGAATAAAATATAGTGTATGTTTTCTCGAGTTTATCAGAAACTTAAGGCCCATTTTTCATGTAATTCATTTAAAAAGGCATCTTGTTTAGGTTATTTTATTCTCCTTCACATTTTTTTAAAAAAAGAAGGAATAAAATCTTGAATATCTTATAATTTAAAAAAACGATACATTTCTCTTATTTTTATTCCATTAATTTAATTTTATATAAATTAGAAAGATTTAAAGAAATATACAGTATCAAATAATTTTAAACACAAAATCTAAATTCATAGAATTCCACATTATAATTAACTCATCATTAAATATTTTATAATTGTAAATATTCATTCTTATTATATGCGTATATTATGTTCTTCACAAATAGATAAAAACTGTATTTTATAAACTATTCTAATTTGATTGGTAATGATAATTTAAAAGTATCTTGTATTTAAGATACTTTAATTAGGCAAAAGATACTAGTATCTGTATCTAAAATTCATTTTTTCACAAAAAATCTGTATCTAGATTTTTCCCGGAGGACCTGCCCAACTCTGGCTACTTCGAGCCCACATATTTAAAATTTTATGACAATATTATTCTTTCTTGTGAAGGTATACAACACGATTGGGCCAACAGTTATTTTGCCTTGGTGTTTAAACATTAATAGATTCGATCCAAGTTTTAAGCCTTTATTAAATACCTGGTATTTTGGTGAAATCACTTTAATAAACATTATTCCTGACATTATCATTAATCTTATTCCCACTACTTTATCTCTTAACATGTCAAAGTCGGACTTTTCTCTCACAAATTATTTTATCCCAATCCTCTCTTATAAGTATACTTCCATCCAGGAACTTAACAAATCTTGTTACCAATTAGTGATGCCTTTTTTAGACAAAACCTATTCTAACCTAGTAGAAAGGACAACCAATTTTAAACGAATTATTAGCCCATCAGGCTCTTTAAAAATTATTTTAACATACCCAATATCATGTGTGCTATGAGATCAGCCCCAATCTTTCATAAGCATGAGTTGCATATTCGCATAATACTTGTGGCTATCGCTAATATAAAATTTCCTGATAAGTCAAGGCTCCAGGCAGCCACGGGATTGGTTTCCGTCCTTCATCCCTTCTCTCTTGCTGTTTTTATCTCCTCAAGATTTAGAAGTTCAAGTCAATGCTTACTTGTCAAGATCTTGTCCTAGAATGTGCTACTAACACTTGGGTGTTGCCAACCTGAGAAAATTCTCCTTTATATTTTCTGGCAGGGGCGATAGCTACGCCCATCTTTTTTCTTGTGCTCTCATTGGCTATGCGGTCCAGTTTAGTTTATCATAGGCTTCATCGGGTCATACGAATTTCGTTAATGCCCAAATTTCGCAACCATCAACAATGAGACCTATAATACCATGGCAGCATCTTCCAGTCACAAAGCACTCCTGTAATGGTTCTCTCGCCCCCCCCCCCATCTGTATCATAGTGAAGGACCTCATCACGACGCCCTCCGTCTTGATGTATTATGGACATGATAGCGAAACATGGTCAAATACTCTAAGAAATCTAAATAAGAAAAAATAAAAAACGAGATCATGTGATCACAATGCTGCTTATTTATTCGATCCGAGAGCATCTTACTAGTGGTAAATTTAATGAAAAACTTAATATAATACAAGGTGATGATTGAAATATTTTAAGTTATATCATAAATTTCAGAAGTAGGCCCTTTTAATACATGGAAAGCAGTAATTTACATAAAAAACAATCAGATTCTGGTCTCAAGTTAGTGGAATATATTTTGCTCATCATGCCTATTAATAGAAGTGATTCCCTAGTTCTACCTCTTCAGAAAGAAATAGGTTGATTTGGGTTATATTCTTACTAGAACAGAAATCGATTGAAGATCTCGATATCAGGAAAATTGATTGAAAAATATTTAAAAAAATGATAATATTGAATATGAATCAAAACAAGATTATGGCACAGAGAGGGAAACATTAGTTATTGAATGACAATGAATTTATAATATTATAAAATTAAAGATTCATTTTACTATTATATACAAAATGAAGATAATATTACCATAATAAACATTAATTTGAATTTAACCATATACACTAACGGCCATAAATGACTGCCCACCCAGCATTTTTACATAAAAAAATTAATAACTTAAAACTTTTTAACTTATTTGGGGAAAAGCGAATTGATTATTTAATTTAAGATATTTAGACATGTTTAGAAATAAAAAACTCGGAATTTCTATAAATCTTTCTATAAAATTTTAGCTTTGAAAATAACATGTCAAAAATGACCAATTTAGTAAAATAGGGTTCATTAGTTTTTTAGTAAAAGTTGCCCATTGTTTTTGGAAGAAAGTCATTAATCACATTCTAATCTAGAAAATTCCTAGATTTTTTTTGTTTTAAATCATTGTTTAAAGAAACTTTCAGTCTTTATAAATATTTTAACGAACTTTCGACAAAATGATTAAAAGAAAAGAAATTTCGATTCCAACTAAATGCAAAATAATTAATTTACACATAAGTGGTAAAAGTAATCGCAAATTGCCAGAGAATTAACCCTAGCTCGACGAACAGTCGATTGTATACTTAAAAGATACGCAACAATAATACAATATTGAATCTAAAGAGGTCTGGAAAACCTCACAAAACGAATTTAAGCGATAATAGGTATAGCAAGGATCAGTAAACGCAATGACGCCTTGTCGCCTCGGAGATAGCTGCGGAGATTAATCTGACTCGGGAAAACCCGATAAGTGTCACAACTGTGAATGAACTTTATGGTAGGATAGGGTAGCGGTCAAAAAGCCACACTTGAGCAAAAAAAATAAACTCACGCGATTATTCTGGGCACTAAAACATCAATTTTGGACATCTGCCAACTGGTACCACGTCTTATGGAGTGATGAGTCAAAATTCGAAATCTTCGGTTCTAATAGAATGCAATATATCCGCCGCTCAGCTGGAGAGCGAATGAGCGATCACTGCATATTTCCTACAGTCATATTCGGGGGAGGGTCTGTTATGGTGTGGAGGTACTTTGGTTCCGGGGCAACCGCCTACATTGTCAAAATTAAAGAATCCTAAACAAGGAGGGATACCGGCAGATCCTTGACCATGTGATCTCATCAGGAAAGTGTTTGATCGGGAATAACTTTTTATTTCACAAGATAATGACCCAAAGCATACATCCAGGCTATGCAAAGATTATTTACAAAATCTACAACAACACGGTATTCTCGAGTTGATGACTTGGCCATCCCAGTCTCCCGATCTCAATCTAATCGACCTTTTATGCGATCATCTAGAACGACAAACTCTAAAAAGCCCACTAACCTCTCATTCGCACCTTTGGGAAGTATTGCAGAGAGAATGGAACAATATCACTTCCGAGTATTTAAAAAATCTCATAGAAAGATAACCAAAAATTTTTGTAGCAATTATTAAGAATAAAGGTGGTGATATTGATGAGACCTAAATTTGATATTAATTAATTGCTATGTCTTTTATTTTATGTAATTTTATACAATAATATGTAAACTTATAAATAAATTCGATAAACCTCCATTTTGTGTGTTATTTGTCTTATTTTAAGAAAAATGTCAAGAAAATGCATTGTGGGCAATCTTTATGGCCGGTGTATATACCCTATTTAACCGGTTAGTTGCACCACCCTGGTTTCAACTAGTCACTATACAAATCACATTCACAGGAAATTGTTACTTTTGGAAAATAGAAACTGTGTAAATGAATAATAATGTGTTAAATGAAAAATGACATTGATTCGGATTAATATTTCGATAAAACAAAATGATTATTGGGGATATTTCTAATATTTAATTTTTGGGCAACCCAATCCAAGCCCGAGAAGTCATCAAGGTCCGGGCCCGATCCAGCCTAGGGCCCTTGCAGGGCTCTGATAATAGAATTCGGTTCACATCGTTAATAGAGTTAAATATTTTAAAGTGTCTAATTTGTTATTGATAATATTTTTTTTCACCTTATTTTATTCAAAATATGATAAAGTTTTGCTAATTGTGTATTTTAATAGAATTTTATAGGCTTTGGACGCTTTAATTTTTAAAAATTTTTTGAAACTAAATGAAAGGCACAATTTGATATATAATCGAGAGTGTCAAAGAACAATTAAGTGGTGTTTGATTTTCTTGAGTTATAAGTTGTCAAAAAAAAATTTATTTTTAGATTTTCCTGACTAAAATTATAGGTATTTTCTTTAAACTTATTTAGGGTGGTTTTATTTATGTTTGAGATATTATTTTATTAGGAATACCGGAAAACTTGAACATATAGTATCATCGTCAGTGTAGTTATTATCGTCAATCTTATTTAGCCAATGTAAAGGTAGGGAAATTTCTCGGGAAATGCTCTATTTTTACATCACTAATTATATAATTTATATAATATTAGTCACACATTATCTGTGAGTTAATAAATAAAAACCCTAAAGATGATTCTTGATAATATTATAATAGATTTCTCTTTCTAAAAAAATAAATATTTTATTATATTATATATTTTCTTTTGGCTGGCGTCTTTTTAAAAGAAAAACTTAAAAGAAAAATCTCAAATTTATAATTTTTATTTCAGATATATAAGTTTCCGTAGTATTTTGATATCGGTAAAATAACTGGTATCGGTGCGTTTATGATAATTAATTTTTATTTAAAAATAATAATTATGCATTGATTATTATCATTATGTATGTGTTATATTGTAAACAATAAAAGTTGTTAAATTTATTATTTGAATAATACTAGAAGGGTTGGAGATTCACCAATTCCAGGATCTGGAGGGTATGCTGATAACTCATTTGGTGCTGCTGTAGCAACTGGAGATGGAGATATTATGATGAGATTTTTGCCTTGGTATTTTATTTATATCTTTGAGATTATTTATCTATGCATGATTCTTATACGTTTACGATGTTTAATATTGATTATTAATAAATATGTTTTTATTTTAAGTTAAAAAATTATAATAATACTTTATTACATCTAGCTATCAAGCTGTGGAAAATTTACGCAACGGAATGACTCCAATCGACGCTGCTAATAATTCCTTACAAAAAATTATCAAAAAAATACCTTCTTTTTATGGTGCCATAATAGTTATGGATAAATTTGGGAATCATTGTACGCAATATTATATTTAATTTATTTGTCATTTATTTATTTTTTAGCTGCTAGTTGTCATGGTTGGGAGACTTTTACATACACGTATAGGACTCGAGAAAAAAGCGCACGTTTTATTGATATTAAATGTTCAAAAATACGTTGAAATTTTTTATTATTTTAAAACTAAAATAAATTATTACAAAAATTGTAATATTGATAATATTTCATTTTTTTTTATAATAAAAAAAAAAGCAAATCAAAATATTGTACTTTAATAATGTAACAAAAAACGATTTTTTCAAATTGATTGAAATAATGAATGATAACTGGTAAATAAGGCCTTGAATTGTATTTTATAAATAATTCACTTAAATCGACAAAGGAAAAATTTCCCTGATGTAATTCCATTATAACACCAGAATCGCGACTTTTTTCTCATTCATATATGCCGTAATGTTTTCATTTATGTTATCTGTTTGTTCACCAATTCTTCTAGATTTGCTTTTATTTGAATGTTTAAAATGTAAATGGTTTTTATCATTTGATTCCTTCTAAACAATTTATTTTGATTATTTCATCTGTAAAGGTTTTCATTTCTTCATTCTAATAATTAATTTATATATACAATATATTATAATTCTTTTAAAAACTTCGGCTATTGATTCTTTTAAATCTTCCACAAATTTTGTACGGTCATGTTCTGATTTTGCATTTAGGTTAATAATTTGATTATTAATTCTTATTAGATAATCTAAATATATGAAAATAGGTATAAACTTTTTTAAAAGATATAAAATTGATCTAAACCCCCCAAAATGTCAGAAAAATTGTGAATATTATCTAATAAAATTGTATTTTTATTTTGAATTTAGTGAAACTTGTTATCTTCAGTTTTTACCACAAATTTCACTCATGAAGGATCATATTTTTATAAAATAATTTTTTTTTAAATCAGTAAAATTTTAAGGTACAAATTTGTAAATATAATATTTTACATTGATTTTGACATGTTTCAACAATCAGTCCGAGTACTTTCAATGCTTTGCGAAATTTATAGGTAATTGAATTATAGAAAATTTCTGAAGTTTTTCTAAGCGAGAATTTTACATTATAATTATTATCGTTTGGAAATTGATGATTATTTTATTGAGGCATTTTTGGAGTAGTATTTAATGATGATTTAGTAAACCGCCTTTGATTAAAGCTTCTATTAAAATTATTGTAATCATTTTTGTCTTTAATTAATGAAGGTTTCTGAACCTCTTATTAGTTTTATTCAATTTATTTTCGGTTAATAACTTGCTGATAAATTAATAAATCATTAAAGAGAAATACTTCGCGTTGATGAGTTCCTAATTTTTCCTTTTTTTAGCGAAATCGCCTATTTCATAAAGCCAATAACGGACTAAATGGTAAAGCTTAAAACCTATCAAAATATATTTTAAACATTTTAATTCTTAATAAGATAGGTAAAAATATTTTTACGTAATCAGATTTTGAAAAATTTCTAATATATGCCAATTTTTTTTAATAGCTCTACATATGTCAATTTTATTTGTTGAAGCAAATTTAATATTAAACGTGGAGTTTCCCGATTAAAGCAAATTGATAACTTAGTTCTATGAGGGACTCCAAGTCTGGTATCATTTATCAAATTGACCTGATCAGGGTTGCCATGTTTCCCCTCATCAGCGGGAGACTCGCAATTTTATAGTTACACGCAGACGTCTCACTCCCGCAAAACTACTCCAATTGGAAATCTCCCGCAAAAATCTGCAATTTTTTAATTTCTCCCGCACAATTTTGTTTTAGCATGTTTTTATTATAATAATTGCATCTGTATTATTAATAATGTGATTGAAATATAATAAATAAAATAATTATCAGTATCTTTGATATAATATTATTTTTTATTTATTTAATTTAACCTGAACGTGATAATTAAACCAAGCCGTATAATGCTATACACAACAAACACACGATATTAGTGCAAACTTCATCACAAATGTTTTAGGACCTGAATCCAATTCCAAGAGGTCAATTTTAGACGATTTAAAAGTCGGCATCCCTATGCAATTTTAACAGATGCTTTAATAAGGTAAATATTAAAATATTCCCTTGATCCTTCACTATTTCAACTAGAATAGGGGCATTTCAATAAAAAATTTACGGATAGTGAAAAATCCAACGATAGAGCTAACCACAGAATGGTAAATGTAGCTGATTCAGGGTTATCAACGAGGTTCATTTCAGCTTTCTGCGCTGATAATGCCTCTGTGAATTTTGACAAAAACCAAAGTATATTTACCGAATTGAGGCAACACAGTAATGACTTAATACCAATTAGCTGCATATGCCATATAATTCTTGCAAGAAGGCAATGAATGTATTATCTAAGGATGTCGAAATTGTTATGATGAAATGTTTTAAAGAATTTAGTTCATCAACTGAAAGAGTTAATGAATTAAATGTGGTCGAGTTGACTTGGAATGGTGTGAGTTGTTGCGAGTTGTCCCTATCAGGTGGTTATATTAATACGTGCCATCGATAGAATTATATTATATAAACCTTAAAAAAAAATACTTCTTAAATAAATATTATAAATCCTAAAATTTTGAAAAATTTTTTCGAGGATGAAATGGCAGAAGCATATTTAGGAATGGTTTTACGTGTAGGAAATCTACCACATGCCATTAATGTTCATTTACAAAGAATCTTTATCAATAAAGATTCACAAAATTATGCTACAGCAGTAATAAATTTTATGGCGTTATTGCTAAAAATATTACAGAAAATGTTCAAATAATACTGTATTTTTAAATGAAGCAGATATTTTTATAGGACAATTTAAGTAAATTTGAAATCAAAATTTGATATTTTTTCTTTTTAGCTTTCACCTTTTTCTGGTGGTAAGCTCCTTTAATATCTCTCTCCATTTTATTATTCTTGCTCTCTCTTTTTATCTAATTTATATTTCCCACTGGAGTTTCTTATTAATTCCATTTGGATCTTCCACCGGAGTATCGCTATCGAGGCCATTGTATCTTGATCTCACACCGAAGTATCAATATCGACCATCCCACCATCGTATTCCATTGGAGTATCAATCTTGATGGATCTCCTCTAGGAGTATCGTTATCAAGTTCATTGTAGATTGGTAGACATTGTGCTTGAATGGCCCCCGAGGTCACTATTATCATAGAGTGGCCCATAGATCGCTACCATCTTTGAATGGCCCATGAGGTCAGCTCGCCATCTTTAATTTTGGTTTATTGGATTAATATCTTAGCACCAGGCTGTCCAAGCCTGTCTCAGCTCAGAAATTCATCCTATCATATGTCTTTATACATCAGTCAACGAAGAAAAACCTGAAATTACGTTCCTTACCAGGATTGAACATGAGACCTTCTGTTTCCAAACATACATCATAAATCCACTAGGCCACAATATTATAACCTTGGAACAGAAACAATAAATTGTTTTTTGTAATTTAATAAATATATTAAAAATACCGATAGACATTGATGTCTTGTTTGAGGAGATTGTAATTCTCTCTATTTTTATAATTCACCAGAATACTTGTTAGATGGTCTAATAGCAGAGGATTGGGTGGAATTTTTTCGTAATAACGATAAATCCCCATGCTTGGGAAAAATATGTGAGTATGTTTCTCCTTATCTTTTTAATGCCTCATCGGATCGCCTTTTTAGTCTGATGAGGATGAGGACTTTCTGGGAAAGGTCTAACAACATTAGAGACCGAGCTAATGATTAAACAAGATTATAATATGTCATACCAGCAATTTTATAAATATCTCAATCAACTCAATAACGATAATAAATGTTTAGTTCTATATTATTTAAATATCAAATAAAAACTATTTGATTTTCCATATTTTTTTTATATTTTATAAAATCTTATATATACATTCGCATAAAATAAATATATTTTTTACATTGTAAAAAAATCGTTCTTCCGCAATATGAAAATTTCGGCCTGGCAACCCTGTATTTAAAGTCATTTTTGATTTAAAGTGCCATAAAATTGTGAAAATAACTATTCGCAAAATATAATTAAATTATAGCTCAAGTATTATTTTTCTAGGATGTGAACCCTTCAACCATAAAGGGTCCGCCCCAAGTATACATCCCCTCTTCCCCTCCCCCTTCTTATTGATATAATATATTACTATAAACAATAATATGAAAGAAAAATACGTAGAAGTTTATAAATAAAATAAAGTGAAAAACCAAAATTATTTTTGTAAACAAAGTCCCATAAATAAGTGGATTAAAAGATCTCCACTAAAAATGCGAAAACCTCACCTAATAATGCCCCCCCCCCATAGTAAATTTTTGATTATACGTACTACTATATCTATTAACACTAGTTTTGTTAAACTACCTAACTTTAGTTAATTATAAAAGAGCGTGGCCATGTTTTTAACCAAAAATATTCCAATCAATCTTCAAGTTGAGACTCAACTCCTAACCCTATTCAATTTTTTAGGCTCTGTTTGACTAAGCAACTATTGAGATGGTCAAAGTTAGGTAATTTTACTTACACTAATTAGCACTTGAAAAAAATAAAATGGAAGAACATTTTAAAAATAATGAAAACCTATATAGGAAGTAGTATCCTCGGAAAATGATTGATTATACTAGTTCTTTCATTCAATGAAAATACTAATCAAAACTTTTTAAAAAAATTAGCTCTGAATTTCATACTTAATTTTTAACCTCGTAAGTTGCGCCAATCAAATGGCAAGTTTAAAAACTCGCCCATTGTAAACTTCCAAATGGGTTGTGGTGTCGACTAAATTAGTTTGTTTTAGTGGACTATTAGTCGAGACCCATTTTAGGCTAGTTTTTAACCTTGCCAGCTTGCTTAAAAGGTTATTGGATTGGTTATTTTGGTCTTTATATATATTATTCAAAAAAATATGCTTTACTTGCTTATGTTAATATGAAGTATAAAAATATTTTAAAAAAAAAAATTTAGACCACCTCGATCAATGTTACAAAATATTTTTTTTAACTTTTTTTGTTAATCATTTAATTTTATTTATTTTTTTTAAAATTAAACATGATTTTCGTCAAAAAATTAATAAAATTTTTGGCATTTTCTATAAGAATTCAATATTAATCAAAATAATATTTTAAATTTTAAAGCATTAAAAAAATTGAATAAAGATATATTTTCCTTCCAATTTAGATTGTAATTAAGTCAAAAAATGAATGTTGTTAAACTACCTATCTTTAGTCAACTATAAAACAGCGCAGCCATATTTTTATCCAGAAATAGACTAATCTATCTACAAGTTTAGACTCGACTTAGAGGCTTAA